TTTCAAAAATGCCTCCTTGGGGGCAGTACTTACCCTTTGGAACCTTTGATGCAAAGTCTACTTTCTAATTCTTAAAATCTCTCTAAAGATTCATATTTTACTCTTAAAATTAAATGCAAGTTCTGTATTCTATGATATCACATAAGGGTGATTGTTTAAATCTATACATAATTCTCATGTATCTAAACTGCATGGAGGAAGATACATTGTTCTTAAAAACAAGGCCTGCCTCCAACAGCATTAATGAGTAATACTGATGGCCCTATAAGCTAAGGAAAAGTTTATACTTCATCACACACAGTAAAACTTCCTTAAAATCCATTCAAAAACCAGGTATAGTGGTGCATGCCTGTAATCCCAGTAGCTTTGGAGGCTGAGGAGGGAGGATCACAAGTTCACAGCCAGCCTCGGCAACTTAGGCCCTAAGCAACTTATTGAGACTCAGTCTCAAATTTTTAAAAGCATAAAAATAAAAAGGGCTGGAGGTGTGACTCAGTGGTTAAGCAACCCCTAGGTTCAATCTCCAGTACCAAAAAGAGACCAAAATCCTCTATTCTTTCCTCAATCTATTGTTTAGATTTTGCAGCCAAACTAACTTCAAGTCAAAATAAAATCTCATGACAGGTTTTCTGGTCCCTACATCCAGATGGACACAGACTTCTTGGAGAATGAATGATTTTTGTATTGTCCTTTTGTCACTTTATAGTGAGGGAAATGGTCAAATAAGGTGATTAGACACCTGGGATCTAGTGTTTAAGTTTTCAGAAAAGACTTAGGGGAACACTGTGGCCCTCAGATATGTGCTTTGCAGCCTTGCCTCCTAGTAGCTCAACCCTTGAATTGGATTAGAATATTACCATGATTACTATATTTATTTATAATATTACAAGGGATTTATAATGTGTCATTTGGAGCTGAAATTCCTCATGATTATTTTAGCCTAGAAGCAATAATAATAATTAATCAAGCAGAACTTTTTATTTTTCTCATGCTATTTAGCAATGTGTGGTTAAATTATGTGATTCTTGTATGATAGATAAATTTTATTATGTCCAATTTAGTAAATAGCCAGGAAGAYTGAAAGCTTAATACCAAATATATTCTGCAAATCATTGGGACTGATTGCTCATGGAATCATAGTGTTGCCACTCTACAGTGGCTTTAAACTTAAAATTGCTTTAAACTAATCAATTTTCAGAGATTTGTCTGATGGTAAAAAAATTAGGAAAATAACTTTAAAAGGGTCACTTCAGACAGGATGTACARCATCCTGAATTTTTTATAACAGCTTTTTAAAAAACTCTTCCAAAATGAAAKGAGTAGTTTTACTTCTACAGAATTCACAGTTGGCTTTTAGATGTCTTAAAGGCTGAGCCACCAACATTGAGGATTTAGATACTCTCATTTATTCTTTGTCACRTGGTTAGAAGCATCAGCCCTACTGAAATTCTTTTTACTTGGACCAAATATCTATTTTCTTAATTCAAAGTACCCAGAGCTATGTCCTAATATTTGAGTTGAACAATCTTATCACAAATTCTCACGAAAAAATACCCTGCTGAATTATCATACAGGTGTGGAACTACTAGACATATGAGATCTACATAATACAAAGAGAAAATGATTACCAGTGAAATATGGCCTCATTCAGAAACTCATCCTATTCATATTAAAAATCCCTGAAAGTGGGAGCTAAAATTAGTTGCTTTTCAATAGCTGTATCTATTTTAAAAAGAATTTTTGTATTTCTAATTAGGGTTCAGAAACTTTTCAAAAAAGGGCCTCTAAGAATTTAAGCTTTTATTCATTAAGCTGGTAGAGGTGTGGGAGGGAAAGGTGAATAAAATTCTATGAAATGAAAATTAGCAAAGACATTTACTTGAAAGTAAAGGCAGACAAAATATTCTCAATAAGGAATATCTGAGTGAAATCATCTAGGGATGGCCACAAGGAAACCTAGTTACACTTAATAATATAAAGACTAACAATTTTGCAGGCTAAGCTGCAAAAGTAGCAAAACATGAAGATGCTTAGCAAGGGAAATTCAACTTAAGAGTAAATGAATGTTAGAAAGAGAACATTTAAAGGTACTAATTATATTCTAACAAGCAACATTAGAAAACTAAAAAAAAAAACCCTGTTTTTCATTAGATGATAAAGAGTAGTAGATAATCATAAAAAAGGAAAAAAAAATTCAAAATTTAAATTACCATGCTAGATATTGGTTCTCTAGTTTTTGAGATGTCTCTTTCCATCAATTGTTTTGTTGAGATTAAGTTTGTTTCTTCATGTTTTAAATACTTTATATTTTTAGACCAGTTTGGGATTCACAGCAAAATTGAGCAGAAGATAGAGGGATTTCTCTGCCCTATACAAATACACACAACCCACTTACTACCAATTATTGAACATCAGAGTCCTATATTTGTTTACAAAGGAATCTATATCAACATCTCATTAGCATCCAAAAGGCTTCACTTTTGGCTTTGCATATTTTGTAGGCTTAGACGAATGTATGACATGTATTTACCATTCTAGGATCCATTCATAGTAGTCTTACTGCCCTACAGTTTCTTTGTATCCCATGATTCAATAAATGCCAGTGAGAATGAGGAGCAACTGGAACTCTCACACATTGTTGGTCCATTGCTACTTTGGATTTCAGTCCTATATTGAGGCCATGTGTACAACCTACAAAAATTTACTCTGTCCATGGTAAGTCCAGTCTCACATTCTGCTACTCAGAGACCCCTACTGGTGAAAGTAGTTTTATCTTTAATGAAAACGGCATTGTGTTAAACTCAACATATTCCAAGCCAAGTTTATCATCTAATCTCCAAAGGTTTTAATCYATTTTTATTTCTTTATATCTGGGAACAACACAACATCTATTTTGGTTGGTCTGTATAAAAAAACTGTGTATTTTTTTTAACTCTTCCATCACCGTTTCACCGCTTTCAATAGGCATCAAAAATTGGTTCCTTTTTCAAATGCAGTGTTCCTTTCTGTTTCTACTCCTAGAACTACTATGTCCTCGTCACTTGATATTTGAGATACTGTCAGTACGTAGACAGCGTATCTCCTATTTCCTATTCTGGCCCTTTCTACATATAAATTATAAGTCAGTTTCTCCAAATCATAAAATTTATAAACTCAATTCTTTTCAAGAATCTCTAGTGGTTTTGTATTTTGTAAACCCTGGACACATTATTTAACAGTTTTATGTGTCATTGTCTTTATGCTCTACCTTATAAATTCCTAGAATTGATCCTCAAACTCATATTTTAAAATTATTAAAGAAGTTAATCTGATTCATCTATTACTATTTTATATCAATCATATTACATACTCTGACATTTGATATTCAAATATTTTAGTAAATTGTAGAGAATGGAAAATGGGATTCTAAGTAATTATAAACTTATTTAATAAAAGTTTCCTTTTTGGATGTACAACTCTGCAACATTTAAAATGTAATTTACAAAATAACAAGTTAGTGTCAAGATTTCATTTTAAGTAAATATTACATTTTGAAATGCTTAATATTTTCTTCATTAGTTTTTACAAATCAGGATGCACATAACTTGAGGGTTACTAAAAAATGCTCCCAGAATTAAGGAAAGCTATTGACAAGAGAGGCCTCAGAACTACATTCTAGATTCTCCCAAAGGATAACTACAAGCATTAGGATACAGAGAATGGTGTTAATTTGAGAAATAATTCTGAGAAAATTTTTCTCTTCACTGTTTCCTATAGGAAGTCATTGTTTGTAATGTCACAAAACAATATGACTAAAAATCAGACATTTTTCAAAGTTTAAAACTCTGTAGATTTTTAAAACAACCTAGATTTTTAGCTACCTTGTTTCAGCAGGAATTTGTCTTGCTGAAACATCTGATCGTCAAGGTTAATTGAACAATTAACTTTTTTCATATAAAGAAACCATAAAATTATACAACCACCATGATATATGCACAAAAGAAATGTTCTCTCCTTTTTATGGAAGAGTCTACCTCATAGTTCAGTCTAGTCAAGTTGACACATAAGAAAGCCACCAGTGCTGACAAAAATATTTTAGAATCTGCAGTTTAGTCTAAGTGGTCAGTGAACTTCACCTAGATATCCTTTCTGGAAACTTGGTAGAGCAGGTTTCTAATTTTAACTGTCACAATATAACTGGAGATAAGTGGCAGAACCTGAATGCCTAATGTGAATCCTGTTGTCATCGAGGGTAGAAACTTGTGGAGTTTCAGAGGTCTTCCTAGTGGCCTAATGGTTCCCTAAATAGGTGGTCTAAAGGAGGGAAAACTGATATTTGTGGCAGACTTCTGCTTGCTTGCAACATCTGTTCTTCCATTCTTCTGCAGTGGTATGGCTCTCGTTTTTTTTTTTTTTTACCTGAGCCCGTGACCACTCAGAGTAAAATCTACTGGGTTATAGTTATTTGTGGCCACTATATTAAGTGCTGTCCTGTGGGGTATAAGTAGCTACAGGTAGTGCAGGCTAATTCTGGAAAGTTGCCTCTACTTGGACTAAACAGCAAAAGGCTTCATGGAGGAGGTAAGGAAATTACTTATGACYTTTATGTAAGTCAGCGTCAAGGCCAAATTTTCATATGGAGGCATGATCATTATGTCTTACTGGGACGTCTTTGTGTAAGTACACTCGTCTCCTATGTTGGACAGGGTCCAGAGCARCCTTTGGCACAGAGTAATCATACAGTAGTGCATTACCGCAGCAAAAATACAATATGATARTAAAGGTTAATGGGGGTAAGTGAAGGATTGAGTGGACGAATGAGCGCTCCTCTGGGGTGGTGGACCTTGTCTGGTTCCTCTTTCAGTCTTGGCTTGGCTATATATACCCTGTGCACCGCTGGCGGGGCGCTGGTATTCCACTAGTAAGGGTGGGAATCCTGGTCCAAGGCCCAGGGTGGGAGTGACGACTCCCGAGCGGTAGGGGGCGCCGTCGTGCGGCCGGGTCGGGCCGGGTGGCTACCACAGCCCTGCACAGAACCGCACAGTCGTCTACGCCATGCGCGCGCTGCTGCCGCTGCTGCGCACCGGTAGCGGGTGGCGCGTGGGGGCCCCTGCCGCCGCCCGCCTGCCTCAAGCAGCGAGCGCGGGGAGCGGGCCGCGCCGCGCCATGGCCCTGTACCGCACGGAGGAACGCGGCCAGCTCCACTCGCAGGATTACCGCATCTTCTTCAGTAAGTAGCTCGAAGAGGTCCGCGGCGGGGCGCGCTGGAGCGGAGGAATGTAGCTGAGTAGTGGAACCAGGGGGACCTGCGCTGCCYGCGCGGCCTGCCTCTCTCTTTCAGGCCTTCCGCGGTCGCCGCGCAGTCCAGGCCATCTTCTTGCACGCGGGAGCCCGCGCTGAGCCATGGGAGCTTCCAGCGAGGGCCTCTGACCAAGACCTCCAACGCGGATTGTGGAGATTTAGGACGACAGGCATCCCCGGCGCCGAGTCGCCCTCGGCCCAGCCAACCGCCCTCTCGGAGCGCGTCCGAGCGCGCGGCCACCCCTGCGGCCCGCAGCCTTTCCCGGAACCCGGGCGGCAGTCTGGGTTCACACCGCTTAGTTGAGGAAGGAGGCCGAGTCCGCCAGCGCCCTCCCTTCCGATGGCGTAAGAAAGCCCCTCCTTTCGCGCAGTGGAGAGGCAGGCTGAACTCTGGAGATACAGGGATCTTCTCTCAAAAACACACGTTTGTGCTCACAAGTTTGCACCCTGAGTGCTATCCACAAGCAAGAGCCGCCCGGGCCTTCTGGTAGGGAGATGGCCCTACTTCCTCTGCAAATTGCACTAGCTAGAAGGTCAAGCGACATGTCGGGCACTGAGCTGGCCAACTAAGACTTTCGGAAAAGGACCCAGGTCTCCGGGACTATCATTTATTTTTCTATGCACCCCAGGCTCCCCTTTGTACGTTAGCAGCACCCGGAAAGTAGCAACGTCGATTGATTGGTTTTCACACTCCATTGACTTCAGAGCCCCGAGGGGAGCTGTAAAGTCCACCTGGTACCGTCACTCACCTATTAGTAATCGAGGTCCTGGAGTAAACCGTGAAGGGCTTCTTCACTGTTTAGCTCTATAACCCTGATTCCGGGCGAATTTCTTACTTTGCCAAACCATGATATTTTTCCCCCGCCTCCTCTTCTGGAAAACAGGGCTCCAAACATCATATGACATATTGTGTATGTAAAGTGATTAGTTGCAGGGCCTAATGTGAATTATTTAACAATAATAATATCTGTAAGCATTTTTGATATCCTCTATTTTTAAAAGGTTTATAGTTTTCCTGCCTGAGATTACCGTCTAGGGTTATTTTATGGAAGAGATAACAGAGCTTGCCTAAACTCTTGTGAGGCAGCTGGTACTAAAATTTGTTTTCTTCAACATTGGTTCTTTTCCTTTATGCTACAAGCTTTTTTCTCCATCCTCCTTTGGTCAACATTGATCAGGTCGTGTTAAAAAAATGSTGAACCAATGTTGTGCGCACCTGTAATCCCAGCGATTTGAGAGACCGAGGCAGGAGCATTCAAAGTTCAAAGCCAGCTGCAGCAAATTAGCAAGGCCCTCAACAATTTAGGAATCCCTCTCTCAAAAAGTAAAATGGGCTAGGGATGTGGCTCAGTGGTTAAATACCCCTGGGTTCAATACCTGGTACTCCTCCACCCTAAAAAAAATTTACAATGTAATTTTTACTGGAACAAGTTTTCTATAGAAACAATGCTATAAATGGCATTTAGCTTTTTAAGCAGATAAAAGCTTGTCCCCTACTGCATAATACATGGAAGTAACCTAGATCTGCAATAAGTGTAGTAATTAACAGGCAAAGTAGTTAATATCTATGAAGTGTACTAGATTTGGTAGGCATGGCACAGAGGAGGTTTCATCGTGGTCCCTGCCCTCAAGAGATTCATAATATTAATGTAACTCATAAATGAGAATATAAAAACAYTAAATATGTTTTACTTGAATCTTGATTGAAGAGAGGCAGAGAAAAAAGTGCAGAGAAGTCTGGAGCTCAAAGTGTAGTTGAACAAGCACTGGATTTGGACKGGAGAGTTCTAAGCTTTAATTCTCGTTCTGCCTTTAACTTGCTGTGTACTGTTAGGCTAGTGTTTGCTACATTCCTTTTTCATAGGGACAGTTTCCTCAACTGTATAAGGAAGTAATTTGCCTTGAAGTGATCGTCACCCAAGGCCTTCTTGGCACTGGTATTCCTCGAAGGCACTGGATGAATGATAGAGATCCTAATGGTCTCAGTTGTTGCAAGACCTCTAACCCCTTATTTTGGAGTCTGTTGGCCTGTTTTTGTGGTTTCTTTAGCTGCAAATGTACTTTAAATCCTTGATTTTTCTGTGACTTACATAAGTAAGAATTACTTAAGTATATATATATATATGTCTTTTCACTCAGTTGAGAAAATGGCAGGTAAGAAAAAAGAAGTCTTACTGAGGTATATGAGCAGCAATTGGAATAAAGGGGAGTATGGTTTTGGGGAGAGTCCAAATGGTGAGATTCTAATTGGAGAAGGTATGTTGGATTAAATAATTCCTGAGCTAACCACCAGATGGCAGCCTTGGCAAAGGACTGTTTACTACTGACTGGAAAGAGTAGGACAAAATGATAGGAAGATGCTTGGGGGTAAGTGGGTTCATGGGAAAACAATGGACAAATTTCTTTTTTGTAAAGAGGGTCACAATAACTAGGTGGATGGGTTTGAAGGATCCCAACACATAGAAGTGATAATGTTTGAGGAGATGGAAATGCTAACTACCCTGATAGGATTAATACATGAATTGTATACATGAATTGAATTATAACACTCTACCTCATAAATAAGTACAAATAGTATATGTCAATTTTAAAAAATTTTGGTTTCAAATTGGAAACATAGTACCAGCATCCGTACATACCTTCCCAAGTAATTCTGTCTCACTTTAAAGAGGAAAAAACAACAACAAAAACAAAATAAAACATGGTATAACACTACTGGCTCTGTTCCACATTATTAAAATGGAAGTTTTTCCACAATCCCAGATATATCTCAAATCTCTGAAATACCAGTGTAGTGAGTGATACAACATTTTTGAGATTCCTCTCTGTAAATGGTTGCTCTTTTGTGCCATTAGGAGAATATTGATAGATATAATTCTTTTTTTAAAAAAAAAATTGGTATAACTTTGTGAAAATAGTATCAAAGTAAGACAGGATGATTCAGGGGAAGGAGCATCCTGGATCATCAGGCCTCCTTGGTGACAGCTCTGGCCCTGTTAGTAACCTGCTGCACAGCCTTGTATCACTTCACCATTCTGTACCTCATTTTATTAAATCATAGAATGAAAAGTTTAGACTACATCATTTTCCATTCTGTTCCATAACTTTAACACAAGCATCTCATTATTAGGATTTCTTTTAAACAAAATATTTCATGGTTTAACAAATTAAAACACTCATTGCTTTATGAATAAAACTTTATTGCCTTCTTGTAGAATAATATTATACATGTTAAAGTACTAGTAAATTCTGACATAAATTGTCCCACACTTTTGAACCACAGAATACTTATTTCACAGAACATTGCTAACATCTTAGTGATATTAGAGTTTCATGGAACTTATTTTGGGAAGTACTGTGTAGGACAATTTCTACAACTTCTAGAAGCAACTATGGTCCATTAGATTGTAGTCCTGACTTCACCATCTTGGACAAGTCTTGGCTCAACTAACCACTACATGGCATCTCATAGCTCAGATGGTGTCCCTTAGCTCAATTTCTCCATCTGTAAAGTGGGTCTAGCACTAATAGTTCTATAGAATTGCTGTGGCAGTTAAATCAGACTGTGTGTAAAGATCAGTATCTTACACACAGTAGATATTAAATATATGCTATTTCTTTTTCAGTGTTAAGACATTAGACAAATCTTATCACTAGATTCCAAGAAGGGTGAAAGGTAATAGAATATGTGTAAAAGTCAATATTTTGAAAATGTTCCACTTTATTTCTAGGTTTCAGAATTTTAGTGGGTACTGCCCTACAGTCTTTTTGTGTAATCTTTAACTGTAAAACAATAATGAAATTAAATTTGTGTATATGAGATCAAACACCTACCACTGCATGTTAATGTTCCTTGATATTTTGGATGTTTTTGTTTGTTTTTTTGTGATAATAAACATTTTAGATTTTAAACTTTTCCTACAGGATAGGGAAAAGCTGTGTTTTCCATAATTTGAATTTTTGTAACTATGGGGTAGATAACTGGTTTATTTAGAGAAACAGTGCTGTGCATAGTTGAAGATACTTTTACGTAGACTGAGAATGAATCATGTAGTTCTTCATCAGTTTGCTTTATCATTTATGGTAAGCATAGGCTTGTGTTGAAATTATGGTAAGTTTTCTCTAAGTGCATAATTTGAGTAATAGGTAGAATATGACATTGAATGTGCTATATATTTGAACCTAGTAAACCTTCCTATGAATAAGTTTTCATGACCTTTTAATTTTTAAGTTTGCCCATATAGAACTCAAATTGACACATTAAAAGATAATGGCTATAGTGTGAATATAAAGAAATTTGATTTCCTTTTTTTTAATCCTCTTAAAAACAGCTTAGTTTCCTAAATGAAGCGCTCTGAAATATAAATCTTGTGATCTATAAACTTCTTTAAATTTCTGGATCTTACCAGAAAATAAAACAATTACAGTGAACACACTGATCTTTTTAAATGTTCAGACTCTGCTCAAAATCCTAGTGACTTTCTATTTCATGCTAAAATAAATAAATTTGAAATCTTTACTGGTACACAAGATCAAATACTGGTCTACACCTCTGGTTTAACTGCCTGCCACATTTCCCTTTGTCAGCTTCCTATCATCCTGGCCTCCTTGCTGTTTCTCAGATAACCTGAGAAGTGCTCTCCTCAACACCTGTGCTTTCTGTGCCTTCAGTGCTCTTCCCTGAATGTCTGCTTGACCTACCCCCTCACTCCATCAGGTCTGTGCTGACATGTTACCTATCGGGGAGATCTTTCTTGATCATTCAGTATGAAATATCACCCCTTCCTTTAGTCACTCTTTACACACCCTGGTTTGTTTTCCTTTAGAATGCTTATCATACTGCTATAGTATATACATATTCATTACTTCTGTTCTCCTACTAGAATGCAAGTTCTATAAGAACAGGGCATTGGAATTTGTATTCCTGGTACATAGAGTAGTGCTTGGCATAGAATATGTGTTCAGTAAATATTTACCAAGTGAATTAATTTAAGGAAAACTTACAAGGTAAATAAGAAAAATAGAAAGCAGAAAGAAGAAAACTTGAATTCGAAGTYATTGGGTGTTCTCTAATATTTTTTAAAGGCCAAGGCACCCATGCAAAAGGAAAAAGAGGAGATGAAGAAATAGCCAAATTGAGCCCTTGAAAACTAAAATATGATATTTTTTTTAAAAAAATACAACCTCAGCAGAAAGTACAGTGAGCTGAATTGTGTTGTTTCAAACTACAAAATTTTCGATAATTTGTCAGAGCAGACTAAGAAACTAATATAGATGAATCAGAAGAGAAAGTAAATCTATGTGTATATATTTTTTATCAGAAAATAGAACAAAATATCAGAATAGAAAAAGGAGATAAAAGGAAGAGACATGGAAATTCTAGGATGTCTCACATGTGACTAATGTGAGTTTTAAAAGGAAAGAACAGATACAACAATGGAGAGGATATTATCAAAGGGATAATAGGAGAGAGTTAACAATCAAATGACCCAAGTATCAGACCCCCACTCACTTTGTTGTGCAATCTCAGAAAAATGGAGACTGTGAAGAAGATCCAGAAAGTGACTGGAGGGCTGGGCAGTAGGGGGATGGCAGGCCACTTGCAAAGGGATGAGAATCAAACTGTTATCTGACTTACAGCACCAGAGAATGCTTAAAGACTGTGGGAGTAATGCCTTCAAAACTCTGAGAGAACATAATTTCCCTCCTAGAATTCTCTACCCAGCCAGCCATCAGTCTGGGTAAGGACCAAATAAAGATCTTTCACACACTCATGTGCAGTTGTTTTTAGAGAACACATGTTAGGGAATGGTCCCCCCAAACAAAGAAGTGAACTAAAAGAGATAACTGCATGGGACCCAGAAAACCAAAGGTCTTAGAATGCCAATAAAACATCAAATCCAGATGACAGCAAAAAAACAGAGGGCTCCAGAGAGGATTCCGGTTTTGATGGTATCTGTGAGGTATTGGAATAATTTGTAGATATGATTGTGACAGATAATTCAAGAAAGGTAATTAGAAGCATAAGGAAAAATAGAAGTTGAACAAGAAAGGAAGCTTAAATTATAACATCCTATTTGTCAAAAATCAACACATGAAACAGTGCTTCTCAAACTTGCCTGGTTCTCATCCTTCCTTTGTGTACCAGGGGAAATGACTAAGTGTGCTGGGAGGACTCCTTTATGTTTAAGCGTATTTAAACACCTCTGTGAGTGTGCATTACTTAATGGAAGAAACTACTGAGAAAATTAAGCTTTCGAAAAATTAAAGTGATTTACAAGAATATTACCCATTAAAGCATTATCCTTACCTGAGATCTAAAGATATATTTATTTTTTTCCAGTAACAATTGTTTTATTATTTTTAATTCATTATTATTTATGAATGCTATTTTATGATCCAAGTCACTTCTAATCTATATGGTTATCTAAGTCTATACACTGACAATTTATTCACTTATTTGATAATTAATCACTGACTAATAATGATCATTCAAAAATTAGTAATGTTATTTATTTTGTTCTTTTGTTGATTGTAGATAACTTTGAAAATCAAGTAAATGATTTGAAATTGGATATGGAATGCATTAGGGAAATTTTTGTTTTTAAGGTTTATCCTTTTAATTTGTGAAAAAGGCTTATAGGTCATAGCCAAAGTTTTATAGACTTTGCTCTTTGTATGCTTTGCTTCAATTTTATCTCTTCCTTATACGCATGTTCTTTAGAAGTTGCCTTGCTGTCAGGGTGGAAAAAGAAAAATTAACAGTTTGGAAGGGAAAAAATGAAATAGTAATGGAGATATTTATTCAACGAATCCTCTCTGGGCAGATATTTATTGAATGTCAATTTACATGCCAGCTAGTTTTCTAGATACCAGGGATCCAAAAGAAAGTAGAACAAGACAGAGCTGCTAAAGAGAGAGCAGTACAGAATTAAAATCTACATGACTTAAGAAATTACTAAATGAAAATTTTGTATGGTTGTATTAAGCCTAGCTTTTAGAAACAGATATTGTTCAATGCAACTGTATATTGGGTCATTGCACTTGTTTAAATAATATATACTTTTAAAAGTATTTTAAATACATATTTCGGTATATAACTTTTAAGATAAGGTAGTTTCTGGTGTTCAATTTGTTTTGTTTTAAGCTTAATATTCTTAACCACTTTGAGTGGAAATAAATGATTTGTTTCTTTCCATGGTGAGACCATTGAATCTTTCTTCATCTTTTTAAAAAATATGATTATTTATTCTAAATAGTTTTACATGAAAGCAGAATGCATTTTGATTCATTGTACACAAATGGAACACAACTTTCATTTCTCTGGTTGTATAGGTCAAGTCCCACCATATGTGCAGTCATACACATACCTAGAGTAATGATGTCCATCTCATTCCATCATCTTTCCTGCCCCCAAACACCTTCCCCTTCCCTCCCTCCTCCTCTTTGCCCAAACAAAGTTCCTCCATTCTCCCCACAACCCCTCCTCCCCTGACATGGATCAGCACCCACTTATTAGAAAGAACATTCGACCTTTGGTTTTTGGGGATTGGCTTACTTTGCTTAGCATGATATTCTCCATCCCCATCCATTTACCTGCAAATGCCATAATTTTATTCTCTTTTAATGCTGAGTGGTATTGCATTGTGTATGTGTACCACAGTTTCTTTATTCATTCATCTGTTGAAGGGCGTCTAGGTTGGTTCCACAGTTTAGCTATTGTGAATTGAGCTGCTGTGGACATTGATGTAGCTGTGTCACTATAGTATGATGATTTTAAGTCCTTTGGGTATAGACCGAGGAGTAGGATAGCTGTGTCAGATGGTGGTTCCATTCCAAGTTTTCTAAGGAATCTCCATACCGCTTTCTAGATTGGTTGCACCAATTTGCAGGGCCACCAGCAATATATGAATGTACCTTTTTCTCCACATCCTCACCAATACTTATTATTGCTTGTATTCTTGATAATTACCGTTCTGACTCAAGTGAGATGAAATCTTAGAGTAGTTTTGATTTGCATTTCTTTGATTACTAGAGAAGTTGAACATTTTTTCATATATTTTTTGATTGATTGTATRTCTTCTTCTGAGAAGTGTCTGTTCAGTTCCTTAGCCCATTTATTGAAGGCGCCGAAAATATATATTAGCAAAAATATGGCCTCTTCAACAAGTGGTGCTGGAAAAACTTGAAATCCGTATGCAACAAAATAAAATTAAACCACTCAAAGTGGATCAAGGACCTAGGAATTAGACCAGAGACCCTACACCTAATAGAAGAAAAAGTAGGCCCAAATCTTCATCATGTCGCATTAGGTCCTGACTTCCTTATCCAGACTCAAACCACAAGATGTAAAATCAAGAATTAATAAATGGGATGGACTCAAACTAAAAAACTTCTTCTCAGCAAAGGAAACAAACATGAAGAAAGAGCCCACAGGGTAGGAGAACATCTTTATTATACATACATCAACTAGAGCACTAATCTCCAGGATATATAAAGAATTCAAGGGCTGGGAATATGGCTCAAGTGGTAGTGTGCTCGCCTGGCATGCATGTGGCCCGGGTTCGATCCTCAGCACCACATACAAACAAACATATTGTGTCTGCCAAAAAGCTAAAAAATAAATATTTAAAAATTCTCTCTCTCTCTCTCTTTAAAAAAAAAGAAAAAGAATTCAAAAAGCTTGACACCAATAAAAATAAATACCCAAATCAATAAATGGACTTTTCTTCTTATGCATTATAGGTGAAAATTGGGAATTCTGTTACTAGGTCTCCTAGGGAAATTGTTGTCAGTTTTAGTCTAGTTCACTTAGTAATGAGTCTCTTCAAAAGTGAATTTTTTTCATAGTTTGGATTTTAATTTGTTGTAGGTATTTTCTGTTTGGGGTGTGTTAGGTCACAGGAATAAGTAAATGATTTCAGCAACCTAGTACTGTTTAGTTGGTATATATTTTTCTTTGGTCCTCAAATAGGAACAAATTTTAAAAGTTGAATTAAACTTTAAATCAGGAGTTAATGCTAATTTGAAAAAGTTGGGTAAACTTAAAAGAGGATGAGGATATTATTGTTATAAAGAACAGTGTGTCCATTGATTTAATTCTGTGTTTTTATTCTCTACAGAGAATGTAGCTGGTCACTACATTTCCCCCTTTCATGATATTCCTCTGAAGGTGGACTCTAAGAAAGAGGTATTATTTTAACTTGTCTTGGGGGTGAAAATAGGTAGTGCTAGTATTGCCATAAGATGTTTTTTTTTGAAAGCCCCTTGAAAAAAAAGAATGTGGTTGTTAATCAGGAGGAGAAACTGAGGAGTCATAACAGGATTGCAAGTCTCCTTCATGAATTAAAATTTGCATGAAAATAGTATTCTTCCAGAAAGGATTGGGAGGAAATGATGTGAGTGGTTCATAAACTTAGGCAATCTGGTAGGAAATAAGGATTAAAGGTAATAACTTAGGAAATTAACAAGAGGCTTATAATTTTAGTAATAATGATATTGTTAAATTTTTGGATTATTTCAGTTTGCTAACCACTATATGAACATATGCTATTTTATTTAATCCTTGTGGGTTGCTCTTATTTTCTCCAAGACATTAAGGCTGCAGGCATTTTATTGACTTAATATCTCATAGCAGATAAGTGCCGGAGCCAAGTTTTAAAGTGGCATTTCTGACCACAGAGCTCCTTGACGGTTCTGAATCAAGAACTAGAAAAGTAAGCCAGGGGCTGAAGGAGGTGGCCATGGTAATGTTTGAATAGAACCTAGTCAGTTGACAATTGTATGGGTATAAAGGATATTTGTTGAGGAGGAATAGGAGGAACCTATTRTAGGGAGAACTGAGAAGGCCTCAAAAATATGCACTGGGGCATTTTGATACTAATAACTTTGGGGTATTAGTCACCTTAGAGGCTGAACATCACACATGATACTGAGTTTGTGGAACACTGAAGTGGCATTAGCAAAGAGTACCAAATTGTCATTAATAGTGGCAGTAGGGTCAGTGGTAGGATTTGTTGAGTGCTTGTGGTACTTGGCCAGGCACTGTGCACAGCATTATCTCAATCCTTTTGGAACWACTGTGATTCCCTTTATTTTGTTAATGATGTTAAACACCTTACATGGTTACATATATAGACAATTGTGGAGGTGGAGTTGAATTTAGGTGCTTTAATTCCAAGAACTACCTCCCTTCTCTCATGCAATGTCTTGTTTGTTACTGTAAGTGTTTTTACAGGACAAGGGGTCACATAATCTGTAGAGATAAAGAAACCAGAGATGGCAGAAATAACTCAGTGTTTCTGTGTGTGTATGTGTGTCCATGTATTTTGTTTTGTTTTAGCCAGGGAACTATTAAACCTGAATTTTTCCTCTCTTCCCCACACCTCTCTTTGCTTTGGCTAAAGCATTCATTCATTCATTTATTCATCCAATGAATAATCATCGCATGTTTATTATGAGGCAGACATTATTTCAGGGACTGCTTGTGCAGTGGAAGTGTTTAAGTGTCATTCACACTCAGTTGGAGGAGACAGACAAGCACAAAATCAATCAGATAATGGTAAGTTCTAAAAGGGAAGTGTAGGACAAAGAGTTGACTAGTGAGTGATATTGTTGGGGTATACCATGGCAAATCTGTGTACCTTATAATAACACCACAATAATAGGAAGTCATGTAGTAGGCAGGGATAGAATTAGAAGAAAGTGATATGGAAACATCTTGGTGGGCATAATATTCCAAAGAGGATGGATTTGGGTGAATGTGAGATTCAGGATTGGACAAAATTGAATAGGTTTCCCTAAATTTCAGCCAGTGGGATTGGAATTTTTGTACCTTATACTTTGGGATGTAGAGTTTTAGTAATAGAAATAATGTTTCAGGGCTGACCTGGAGTAATTATTTTTCTGTTTGTTTTCCTCATTAGTAGTCGTTTTGGTGTGTAAATGTTACGTATACTGGATGAGCGTCTGTGAGTCGCATGATTTTCCTTCCCAACACACCACGTAGTCTGGTTTAATTTAAAAATGCTTAGTGGAGGCGTAATAATCACACCTTGGTAGAATTCACAGGCAGGAGGTGCAGCGAGTACTTTCATGGCTTGTTAGTCATGCTCCCTGGAGTTTCATTTCAATAATGAAATGACTGTTTTAAGCGTAATCACTGGAAATTGCCAGTCTTTCCTTTAAGACTGAACAGAGCCTTTGCTTATTTTATAAAACCTTGGAAAATATACTTGAAATAGATTCAGCTTTTCTGATAATTTATTTTATAAAACACATCTATGCTGTGTTCACTGGAGATGCTAATACTGAAGGAAAGACTATGTGGGCATTTGGTAGGTTCTCTGTTGAGTCAGATTTCTGGACAGCCTCTGTATTAGAATGGATATACAGTAAGCATACTTCTATTGCTGTGCAGTGCATCTGTATTTTGTGAAATATTACAATCATAAATGCTATCTTTTCTTTTATAGGAAAATGGCATTCCTACAAAGAAAGCACGAAATGATGAATCTGAGGTATATCTAAAAGTTTTTATTTCTGAGAATCACTTTTTTACTGTCTCTTAAAGGCCTTGATGATCGTTTAGATTTGTGAAAGTACGTCTAAATGTTTTCCCTGCAAGACTTTCATATGCATGGGTTTTTTTTTTTTTTTTTTTTTTGTAATCTTTCTTTAAGGCAGCTAGGACAGAAAGCACCATTTAATACTGTTTATTGTGATTAAATATTTATAATACAAAATTTGCCATTTTAGCCTTTTAAAAGTGTATAGTTGATTGGCATGAAATACTTCCACAATGTTGTGCAATCATCACTACCATGTATTTATCCCAAAGTGTAACTCTAGACCCATCAAGCAGTGGGTTCCAACTTCTTCTCCCCCAGCCCCTTGTAGCTACTCCTGTCTCTGAATTTGACTTTTCTAGATACTTTATTACTAATTTCATTTTTTATTTTTACTTATTTTTAATTTTTTTATAGTTGTAGATGAACAGAATGCTTTTATTTTGTTTATTTTTATGTGGTATTGTGGATTGAACCCAGTGCCTCACACATGGTAGGCAAGTGCTCTGCCTCTGAGCTACAGCCCCAGATCACCATTTCATTTTTTAAGTGAAAAAAACTAGAGAATCAAAGCATGAACCCAGATTTTAGTAGCAAATTATCACAGTAGATAACCTTAAGTAAATGTATGTCATGAAAATTGGTCTGTTAATCTGTTAAAAATTATAATAGAGAAGATAGTTGGAGAGCAACTATCAGAATTGAGAAACCTGTCTTTTTGGAATACAGGAGAAGAAAAAGTTACATCAACTAAATGCCAAAATAAATATATTCCAAATATATCTTTCAACTGTGTGACTGTCAAAACTTTTATAGTTATTCACATAGGACCAGATCATTTGATTGACATCTTTTCCCATCTCCTACTCTGGGTGCCCTTTTATTGTGCTGATGCCAGTCAGCTTTTCTTAYCACTCTTTACTTTTATGGCCTTATCTCCTTCTATTCTCTATCCTTACTGAAACTTTTGACTCTAGTGTTTCTACCCTGGAACCACTTAGAGCACTTATTAGAAATTCACATTGCAGGCCCCATCCCATAGCTGCTAAATCAGAATCACTACTTCGTGGGCCCTGGATGAACTACATGCTTAGCAAGTATTTAATGTATATCCTGAACATGAAGTTCGAGAACTACTACCCCAGATGTTGGGCAAACAGACCCTCAGGGACTTGAGACCTTATAGTTCCTAGCAACTTGTATATTAACCTGAAACAGTTATTTCAGTGACAAGAAATATATATTTTGTGTTCAGACAATCAAATTAAAAATTCTTACACTGTAGTTTCTATGTTGGAGACCATCCAATACATGTTTATTTGAAAGAGAGAAGAAGGAAGGCTGATTTTCTCTTGCCCCTCCTGGCTTTTCCCAAAATACAGAAAATGTAGTGACTCTCTTTTCATATTATTAGTTTTTCTTTTTTATTTCTGCAACAAAAATACATGGAAAAAAATGGAGGAAAAGAAAAGGGCTGGCTGAAGAAGAAGTTCAATGGCCCTGCCATATGCACAGCTTTCTGATTTGATTTGAGTTCCTTTTATCTTTTTGGTTTTCTAATAAATTCTGGCAGGCCATTGTCAGTTTATAATTAACACTAATCTTAGGAAAACCAGACTAACATTGACTTTAAAAAATTACAGGCCAAATGCATTTTAGCTGTAGAGAAGAAAGGCAGGCTAGGAATAAGCCCGAAGTGATCAGGAGCAAATGATGAAGGAGAGTGTGGCTTTTGGGGTTAAAATTCAAACCTATTCTTCATCTATTGTTCTTTTGGCCTAATTCAAGTCTGTGAGTGGTTTGGTAGGTGTCATTGTATGAAACGATTGTCACTAGCATGGTCTCCTCTGTCATCTCTGAGTACTCATCCACATGCATTTGTCCTCTTATAGCTAGGCTTTCAAGGATGAATAAATTATGTGAACATCTGCCATTTACTTTGGTTCTTCTTTTTAACAGCTTCTTCAGACATATTTAAACAGGTGCAGGGGTACCTCATGAAAGAGCATAGAAAATGAAACATAACAGCAGGACTGTGTGTACCGTTGCTAGGATAGGTATGAGCCTTACTTCTGAGGAGCASTGTTGAGAATTCATTTTCAGCTTTGTTTACTTCCTTAATGGGTTTGCAGTTTTGCCATTTGTAATATTTAGTCTTCTCTAGAAAAACTTGATAAAACCAACATTACTTTTGTGCCTTAATGTATTTTTATATTTAATTGTAAAAAATGGCATTCTTTGAATTAATAGCTTTTGTGTTTCACTAAGAAACCCTCAGGAACTTGTTTAGCAGTGCTTTAAGCCAACTCTGGCTGTATATTAAAATAGCTTGGAAAGATTTTAAAAATAAGCAGTGTCCTGGCTCCACCCCAGCTCAACGGAATTCAAATAGGTGGGTGGTGGGGCTCTAGGCATTCTTTTTATTTTTTCCTAATTCTTTCAAGCTCACCAGGTAATTTTGATGTGTGGCATGATTAAGTATATTAAATTACTCAAATGTTCACTGGTTTTTTGGTTTATTTCTATCTGTTGTGAGCTAATGATTTTTTTTTAAAAAGTACAATCCAAATAAGTAATTAGAACAATGTAATTCAAGTTGTAATTTTTTTTATTTGTTCTTTTTAGATACACATGACAGTAGAGTATGGTTTGACATATTATGCATACCTGGAATATAACTTATTCTAATTAGGATTCTATTCTTGTGGTTGAACATGATGTGGAACTTCACATATATGAACATAGGAAAGTTATATCTGATTCGTTCTATTGTCTTTCCTATTCCCATCCTCTTCCCTTCATTCCCCTTTCTCTAATCCAAAGTACTTCTGTTCTTCTTTTCCCTACCCTTCCTTGTTGKGGGTTAGCATCCACATTTCAGAGAGAACATTTGGACTTTGGTTCTTAGGGGTTGGCGTATTTCATTTAGCATGATAGTCTTCAGTTCCATCCATTTATCGGCAAATGCCATAATTTCATTCTTTTTTATGACTGAGTAATATTCCAGTGTGCATGTGTGACATTTTTTTTTTATCCATTCACCTGTTGAAGCGTACCTAGGTTGGTTCTGTAGCTTAGCTATTTGTGAAGTAAGTTGCTATAAACATTAATGTGACTGCATATGCTGATTTTAAGTCCTTTGGGTATATGTTGAGCAGTGGGTTAACTGAGGCAAATGGTGGTTCCATTCCAAGTTTTCTGAGAAATCTCCATATAGCTTTCCAGAGTGGTTGCACCAATTTGCAGTACCAACCAGCAATGTATGAATGAACGTTTTCCCCCACATCCTCGCCAACATTTATTGTCATCAAGTTCTAATTTTGGATGATTAGATTCAACAGACATAAAAATTACTGTCAATTTGCTACAATATTTTTAAATGAGCCAAATACCAGCCTGTTTGCAGACTGGCCCTGATGCTGGACCACACTTGGAGCAATGCTGTTTTAAACCATTGCTCCTTCCTGATCACTCATTGGTTACAGATATAAAAAGGCAGGCAAATCACCTTGAACCTTATGACTTTCTCTTTGTAAGGCAAGTTGTGGGAAATTGTTTTTATTCCCCATTCTCCTTGGTTTAAGAATTCTACAAAGTTCAGTTGTAAGAAAAGAARACATAGTTCTTTTGTAATTTTAGCGAGTCTGATATTGTTAGCTAAACCTGCTAAGGTTAGGAAGGCATATCTAACTCTTTGTGAACTTTGTTAACTACCTATGCTGACATCCTTAATTTTATATTATGATTGTAACTTGGCATAAATATTCTTTTATAATATTCAAATATTTAACTTAATAATTTTCTGTGGACTTTCTTTTAAGTGATGTAATTGATCTTCTTTCCAGCCTCATGCTGACTGGGACAGAGATGAGAGGTGTGTGAGACTGAATGTGTGTATGAGGACCCAGTCTCTCATTCCATTTTAGCTGGAGAATGAAAATCAGAGCACATTTCTTGACTTCATTCTAGTTCTGCCACTACATTGCAAAGGTACTTTTGTGTAGTAACCTCTAACACTGCAGTAGGGGTCAGATGACATATAAAGGCTTTCATTCTGCCATTCGTGTTAGACAACTTCTCCCATTTTTAGAAAAAAATTAAGGCATGAGTAGACAAATGATGCAGACACTGAGCATTTTTTGTGAGATCAAAACCTAAAGCATGTTTTTAAAGTCTCTACTGATTTTCATTTAGCAAAAGTTTCTCCAAGTGAAAAAAGAAGAGATCTGTAAAACTTTTTATGTTCTGCTTATCTTTCTCTCTCTCTTTTTTTTAACCACAGAATTTGTTTAATATGGTTGTAGAAATACCTCGGTGGACAAACGCTAAAATGGAGGTATGGATATATTCTGTTAAGGAAAATTGAAATGCTAACTTAACGGTGATCTACATTGTTTTTAACTGCTTGGCATAATACTTTGAATTAGATGATTGACAGACTATAATGAACACAATTAAAAGTATTGTTATGCATTTAGACTTAAATTTAAAGAAGGAAAAGTATTCAAAGCTGAGAATACACTTTAGATACTAAGAATGTATTTAAAATTTTTTAATTTTGTCTGTGTACTTTGTTATATGTATACTTTTCATCGCCTTTTCTTTGACAAGATGGCTGATCCTTCCTACATTTTCAAGGTTTCCTTAAATAGATTTTGAGATGTATTCAGTTCATAGACACAAGTGAAACATTTATTTAAGGTTAATGATAGTTTTAATTTCCGGGGACTTAATTCTCTTTTAGATTTTTACCATGCCTGTAATTAATGTGTTYTCCTGACTAACTTAAGTTATTAACACTATCTAATAGCCTTTGTTGTTTACACAGTGAGTTTTTAAAAAAATTATTTTAAATTTCCAATGACTCCAGGAGGCTGAATCAGGAGGATCACAGGTTCAAAACCAGCTTCAGCAATTTAGTGAGGCCCTCAGCAACTGAGTGAGGCCCTGTCTCAAAAAAATAAAAAGGGTTGGAGATACTGTTCAGTGATAAAACACCTCCCTGGAACCAATCCTGATACTACCAAAAAAAAAAAATTAATTTTAATCTTTTCCATGAGACATGACTCTATCAAGAATAGTTTTTTTCAGTGTTTTATGTTCTTTCTTCAGTTAGATAAGATCCCTTATGTTTCTGAGCAAAATTTAATTTGTGACTCTTACATTGTTTAGTTTAAGTCTTCAATAACTAGGGATGTGATGGCAAGTATAATTTTCTGAATCTGTATTCAGAAAATTATTAGTAATTTTTGTTAACATTTTAATAGAAGGGAAAGGTGTTTGATTCTTCTTTTTATATGGGTTTTTGTTTTGTTTTTAAATGACAACATGAATGTGTTTGGTAGAAAAGTAACTTAGAAATGAAATCATTTGGTTAGATTGGGTTCTTTTAACCATTTTATAAAGTTGTATAGCAAGTAAACAATTTATATTTTATATATTTATGGAATACAAAGTGATATTGTGATTGATGAATACAATATGGAGAAACTAAATCAAACCAATTAGCATATGTACTACCTTAAATAACTATCATTTTTTGTGCTGAAGGCATTTAAATTTACTTGGCAATTTTGAAATATAYAACACATTATTAACTATATTCACTATGCTTTGTAATAGGTCAAGAACAAAACAAAATCTTACTCCTCATTTCTGAGATTTCGTACCTTTTGACCATCATCTACCCAGAACCCTCACAGCCAAGTGACTGTAACCACCATTCCACTGTCTGCTTTTTAAAAATGTTATATTGCATTTATTTTTAATTGATACATAAAAACATGAAAATTACACATATTAGTAGGGTACCATGTGATGTTTTCATACATCTGTACATTGTGTAATGTTTAAATCAGATTAAATATTTCTATCTCTGCAAACATGAATCATTTCTTTATAGTGAAAATTTTCAATATCCTTTGTTCTAGCTTTTGGAAATTTACAGTCCATTATTGTTTTCTGTTGTTGCCCTACTGTGCAATAGCACAGTAGCATTTCTTCTATCTAACTGTAACTTAGTACCAATGACTCCTCTCTCTCCACCCCCTGTACTTTCCCCAGCCTCTGGCAAGCACTGTTTGAGTCTCAAATTCTAGGAGATGAACTTTTTTAGATTTCCCATATGAGTGAAATCATGTGGTACTTGTCTTTCAGTGCCTGGCTTATTTCACTTAACATAATGGTCTCCAGTTCTATCCATGTGTTACAGATGGCAAGATTTCATTTTTTTTATAGTCGAATACTATTCTGTTGTGTATATATACAACATTTTCTTTATCCATTCATCAGTTGATGGAAACTTAGGTTGTTTACATCTCTTGGCTTTTGTGAATAATACTGCAATGAATATGGGCATGCAGATGTCTCTTCCATGTACCAGTTTAGTTTCCTTTGGCTATATATTCAGGAGTTTATTGCGGGATCTTATGCTAGTTCTATTTTTAGTTTTTTGAGTAAATTCTCTACTTTTTTCTGTATTGTACTAAATTACATTTCCACCAACCGCACACTTGGGTTCCTTTTTTCAATATCCTCACTAACACCTATTATCTCTAGTGTTTTTTAAAAATATTTATTTTTTAGCTTTAGGTGGACACAATATTTTTATTTTATTTTTATGTGGTGCTGAGGATCGAACCCAGTGCCTCACGCATACCAGGCAAGCAAGCTACTACATGAGCCATATCCCTAGTCCATCTGTAGTGTTTTTGATAATAGCCATTCTTGCTGAGATGAGGTGATCTCTTTTTGGGGTTTTGATTTGGATTTCCCTGATGATTAGCATTGTTGAGCATTTTTTCATATACCTATTGGCCATCTGKATATCTTTTGAGAAATATTTAGGTCTTTTGTCCATTTTTTAGCTAGATTACTTTTTTAATTAATTAATTAATTTCCTGTTATATGTTCTGGATAGCAACCCCTTTGCAGATGTGTTGTTTGCTAATATTTTCTCCCATTGTGTAGTTTGTCTTTTCACTCTTTTTATTATCTCTTTGCTGACCAACAGCTTCTTAGTTGGATGTAATTGCATTTGCCTATTTTTGCTTTTATTGCCTATGTTTTGAGAGTCAAGTCCAAAAACATTGCCTAGAATAGTGTGTAGTTTCCCCTCCCCCTTTTTTTCTTTTTAATAGTATCTGGTCTAACATTTAAATATTTACCCTTTTTATGTTGCTTTTGTGTAACTATGRGGTATCAGGGTTCAGTTTCATTCTTGCAAATTGGATATACAGTTTTCTCTACTAAAATTTATTGAAGAGACTGTCTTTGTAACCTTGTGTTTTATTGGCATCTTTGTTGAAAATCAGTTTACCATATACATGTGGGTTCATTTCTGGGCTTTCTAATTTATTTTACTGATCATTGTTTCAGAATTTTTTTGTTAGTATCATGCTGCACTATTACTTTGACTTTGTGGTATAGCTTGAAATTAGGTAGCATTCACTTTTGGGGTGTGTGTGTGTGTGTGTGTGTGTGTGTGTGTGTGTGTGATTTGCCTTGGCTACTCAGGGGTATTTTTATGGTTACTTATGAACTTTAGGATTTTTTTTTTATATTTCTCTTTAAAGCAATGACTTTGAAATTTTGATAAAGATTGAATTGAATCCAGTTTACAATTCTTTGAATAGTGTGGATATTTTAGCAGCATTTTTTTTTTCAATTCATGAACATGGGATGCCTTTCCATTTACTTGTGTCCCCTTTGATTTTTTTCCAAAAGAGAAATCAAGAGAACARTCCCATTTACAATAATAACAACAACAAAACAAAAAAACCTAAATTACTTAGGAATAAACTTCATCAAGGAAGCAATAGACCTGTATGCTAGAAAGTGTAAAATGTTGATAGCGTATAGAAGTGCTATTGATTTTTTTGTGCTGGTTTTGTATCTTGTAACCTTATTACATTACTTTATTATTCTACCAGATTTTTGGTGGAATCTTTAGTCTTTTATACATATATGATTGTATTACCAGGAAACCGAAATAATTTCACTTCTTCCCTTCCTATTTGGATGCCTTTTATTTATTTCTCTTGCCTAATTGCTATTGGAAGGACTTCTGATGTTTTGTTCAATAAAAGTGGCAAGAGTGAGTATTGTTGACTTATTTCAGATCATACAGCAGAGGCTTTCAGTCTGAGAATATAGTGAAAATCTTTTCAATAACTCAAGATTGTTGGTAATAAGAGGCCCAAGATGAGTAACAAAAAAGCAAGTTGATTAATCTTTATTTTCTTGCCATTTTAAAGATTTTATTATTTGTGTTAGAAATAATGGAATTTATGAATAGTTTAATTCCTAAATATATAATTAGTTGTTTCCTTTCCTGACAGCTTTCTCTTACACAGTGCTGTAAATTAGTAATAAGAACTGGCTTTATTTTAAGTCACCTTTGATTATTAAGTTGGAATATGAAAATTTAGTTTGAAAAATGGCAGATTTAAGAAATACTGTTTGGGTATAGGAATAATCATTTCACATCCCCCTCCACCTTCTTTTCCCCTGTGATCTGCTTAGATAGCCACCCAGGAGCCATTGAATCCCATTAAGCAAGATGTAAAGGATGGCAAGCCACGCTTCACGGCGAATATCTTCCCTTACAAAGGTTATATATGGAATTATGGAGCCCTCCCTCAGGTAACATTTTTGTTATAATGGTAAAACTTTTCTGTYTTCTGAAAAATTGCCCTGTAAATCCTGTGAATTACTTGAATTTAAATTGGTTCTGAGGACATGTCAGTTTGAGAGATTTGTAAATTTAAAAGTTTTTAATGTAGAGTTTTATTGTATCAGTAAATTTTGTTTCGAATCATWTATATGTCTATATTCAAGTTTTTAGAGTACGAGGGATGTAGAATGCTCAAATTTGATATTTTGAGCACACTTCTTTTTCTGGGCTTSGCTATTGTCAGTGAAAAAATTTTAAGCAAGGCTTTATCTGTAGTCCTTCCTTTAATTGTGCTTTTGTACACATTCATATCTGATATGGTGAATTTTATATTTTTAAATACAAATCTTTTAGGTTATAAACTTTTTTCAGAACTCATTATAAACAGATGACTTGTATTAGTCACTGTTTTGCATTTACAGTTTCCTTGTGAAAACAATGAAAATGGGGACTAATATTGATGGAGAATTTTTCTTATTGTTTTTAATCCTTTCTTGCCCCTGTGTCCTCATTCTTATTAAGCAGCAACTCTTCCAGATTATTTAGTGAGTAGAACTCAATGTGCTGGGTCCAAAGTCTAGATTGTGAAGAAATAAAGAAGCATTTGCTTTTATGTTTATAGAACCCTTTTGATCATCTGTATGGAGAYTTAATTTTTATGTTTTTATTTATTAATTTTAATATGATACATTAAATCCAAAGATGATACTGGGGAAATATATGAGAAGGGGATGGGGGTTCAGGCTTAATCTATCCTGGAAAACAGCTGCCAGTGTAGAATAAACATTCACAGGGAAAGAAAAAAGAATTGTTCTCTTTAAGAGCCGCCGGCCTCTGATGCAGTCGGACCACCCACTTGGTTAMATTTTTCGCTGAAGAGGAGCTCCTGAAATGATGTGCTAAGAATGAGAAAGTCTATGGAAACCTTGAAAGCAGGTTTTTTGACTTGCCAGGTGCATAAACAGACATTTTGTTTAACCCAACAGTTCAAGGTTAAACAAATCTGTAAAGCCTATCTGGTACTGAGAGAGAGAGAGAGAGCGTATGGATGAGGGGATGGCCAAAGAAGCCACTGAATCAGAGATAGCATAAACAGGCATGTAAAGTAGAGTAGTTGAGGGAAAACTAAAATTTATGTATTTGTTCATGTCTTTAAACATGTGTTAAGGATTTACATGCTCCGCAGTATATCAGATGTTGGGTATTCAGACAGATGAGATGCAGATATGCAATCAAGGCAGCGTAGTAATTGGCTAACTGTGAAAGTGGGAATCATTAGTGACACAACTTTGGGTAGGATGCTTTGTGTTCTGTGTCTCACTTTCTTCTGTAAACTAGAGAAAGTAAAATGCTTATTGCCCATAGTTGTGTTGAGGTGAAATAAGTTTGTTATATTAGAATCCTGTGTAATGGATGCTAATCAGTTATAATTACTATTATTATTATTATGACCAGTACTTCTATTATCATCTGGTCCTTTTTCTGAACCTATTTACAGTATGAATAGGATGATTCCCAGCTAAGTCAATAGTTACAATGTAGCATAATAGGTGCGACTAACACTAATTTTATTATTTTATGATGGAAAAAATAATAAAGCAGATCTACTGACAGYAGGGAAGGAGTGAGGCATGAAGGCAAAAACAAAAGAAGCTTACATACTTTTCTGTTTAAAGTCATGTTAAATTTTTGTGTTCCTCTACGTTTGAATTTTCAAGATGCTCTTTTCTGTTGTGATATTAGACTGTTAAATGCAGTAGTTCTTCTCAGATCTAAGGAAAGTAAGGACRCTGAACATCAAGAGCAAAAGCAGTCCAACAAGAAACAGCAGTTGTAAGGGCTGAGGTAGGAGGAGGACAGTGTGGCTAGAATGGAAGTGAAGGAGAGGAAGTAGACCTGCATTCTCTCTGCCATTTTTAACCAGAGATCAAATTGATCTTGCAATGTGTGTGCGTGTGTGAGCATGCACATGCACACGCTCCTGCACGTGCATGAACACTGTAGACGGCATGTGTTCATTATCTACCAAGCAAAAAATGACTAAATTCAATGTTTTTCCACAGTCGAAGTCATGCATATTGGTTAAGTGAAGGGATAATATAAGATAAAAGCCAGCCCCTAGTCCCGTTTACCTTTTTGATGTTATCTGTGTCTGTCCTCCTCTCTCTCCTCTTCCTCCCTTTCCCTCACTCCCTGCTGACACTCTGTTGTGTAGGCGCACTCCCTCCTCAGGCCTTCCCAGCTACTGTGTCCTCTCTTTGGAACATTTTCTCAGATATGCATATGCATGTACCTCCTGAAATGTTTGCACAAGTCACCTTCTTCATAACTCGGCCACCTGAACTCATTCTTGCTTCTATATTTTTTCCTCCTTTTCATAACATCTACCAAAATGTAACCTACTATATAATTTCATTATTTCTTATGTTTATTGTCAATTCCTTCTAGCCAGAATGAAGATTTCACAAGAACAGGGATTCTGTCAGATATGTTGATGGCTATATTCCAACTGCCCTGCTTAATGCCTGGTACTGAGTTGATGATCAATAAATATATGTGAAATGAATATTTGTGATAATAATTAATGCATTGTATGTGTTTAGTTTCATAGGCATATATAACTATTGGATTTTGTTCTTTCTTTCTGATTTGCCTTGTAACAGCAGGAAATTTGTCAAGAGCAGTTACCAAGCCAACTGCTTGGAAGAATTTAAACAACAAAATACTGTTTAAGCAGAAGTATCTGTTTAGCTTGTGATTTATCAGTACACTGTCATTTCAGAACTTCAGCCATCTARATTCTTAACCTTTGTAATTCTCCCACATAGTGCCTTCCTCAGAGTTTGAGTTTTCTTTTTTTTTCCTTCCCCCAATTTATTTATAGTACCCAGTTATAATTATTCCAGTGTTATATCTCTCTGGGTGAATATTTAGAATATTTGTCTAGATAATATTATTAAAGGATTAAACTTACTYTAAAGTCAAGATTTCTTCAGTCAATATAATTCTTATAGGTTTATTATTATAAATTTGRTTTATTGACCCCCTCTCAATATTATACAGCATAATTTATCAGTTTTAGAGCCTGAGACAAGTGACTAAATCTCTTTAGGCCTGTTTGTCTGTATGATCATGCCACTACACCACAAGGATACTGTAACAAACCAGTAGATCAAAGAGAATTTCAGCTCCATAGTGAGTTCTCAATATTAGCTCAATGATGCCATTGTTGCTGCTAATGGTAAAGGGACTGTTAAAGACTCTTGCTTTAGTTTGAAGCTGGAAAAGAGCACGTAAGTGGTTGAGTAGCTTTTATTTCCTTTAACTTCATGATAGGAAGCCTGATTAATAAGGAAGGAATTCTCAAGACCCACCTAAATATACAGCTTTGTGTAGTTCAGTGATTTTTCAAAGAGATCTAAGGACCCAAGCACAGTGATTAAAACATACCAGATAATATTTATAGATTATAAGATAAGGGTCTCAAGACACTTGCATGAGGATAAATAAGGTTTGTTTTAAGCTAGATCAATAACATTTATTCCAATTTATTCATTTTCATATGGTCATGCTTTGTGTATCACTTTATTTTCCCATCAATAGGTTGTTTATAGCTTTTTGTTATGCCTTTCTTGAGCCCTTTTTAATATTTTTCTGTATCCATAGAATGTATTTCTAGGCATATACTTATGAATCGAATTGTGAGTTATATACCTCGCTTACTTACCAAATTGTTTACAAAAGAAGTTGTAGGGGCTGTGGCTGTGGCTCAGTGGTAGAGCRCTTGCCTGGCATACTTGAGGCACTGGGTTTTATTCTCAGCACCACATAAAAATAAAATAAAGGTATTGTGGCCATCAAAAACTAAAAGTATATACATATTTAAAAAAAAGAAGTAGCAAATTATGCAATGTGCATCACAGTGAACTCCACTTTTGTGTATATAATGCACAAAAAATTTAAAATTTAAAAAATGAGTAAACAGAAGAAGGAGCAGTAGAGAAAAAGGATCAGGAGGACAGAGGAGGGGTGGAAAAGGAACCTTCTGGGGGTTAGAATGGAGCAAATTATGCATGTATGAATATGTCAGAATGAATCCCATTATTATGTATAACTATAGTGAACTAATAGAAACATTAAAATAAAAAAGTAGCAGTTTACACTCCTACCTGCAATACAGAAATCTTAGTAGGAATGCAGTGGAAAATAAAAGAAAGAGTTGACCACAGGCATAGAGAAGGACTGATGRGAGCAGCCACCCATGAGACTGTGAGTTTCCCTAGGAGGACTCAGCCATTGGAAGGAGGAACAAAAAAGAAAAGGTACCAGTTGTTACCAGTTTCATGTGCCCTATATCCTAACTAGTATTTAGTATTATCAGATTTTATTATATGTTTGAAATCATGTTGCATTGTGATTTTGATTTATATTTCTTTGGTCATTGTCTTTTAGTAAATTTACAAGTCGTTTATATTTMTTTTTCTCTGAATTACCTGTTCATGTCTTTGGACCATTTTGGTTGGGTTACCCTTCTTATTTAGATTTTCAAGTCATTTTTTAAATTCTGCATACTAAATGTTATCAGTTTTATTAATAAATATTGAGATTTTGAACTTTCTCTTGACATTTCTTCTCAAGCTTAACTGTGCTTGTCCAGTTGTTTCTCTGCCTAGTTATGCACCTAAAACTCCACAAGAGGGCATGCTCAAAGTTTGGTCAAGATTTCTTCTGATGAAATTATATTTTCAAGTAAAATTGAGGCCATTTAATGTGTATCTTTGGCAATAAATCTAAAACCTTGGGCTGGGGATATAGCTCAGTTGGTAGAGTGCTTGCCTCGCACACACGAGGCCCTGCATGTGTTCAACCCCAGCATCACACACACACACACAAAAAAAACCAACAACAACAACAACAACAACAAAAACCCTAAAACTGTTAATAATAAATTATTAAAGGCAGAAATGGAAATAGGAAGAATCAGTCTGGATATGTTTGCTGGTATGGAAAATTGTGAAGAAGTGGCCCTAAAGTCAACAACATTGTATAAGTTAAGAATTGTATACTTGTATACTTATTTTCTCAATAGCAGGAAATAAATTGGTAGACAATATTGAAAGTGGAGTTCTCAGGGGAATGCAGACCAACAATCAGGACGCCCTGACCCAAACCAGATCCTATACAAGTTATAGGAAGACAATTTTTGTCTCTAWATAAAGATGGGCTTTCTTAAAATTAACACTGATCAAAATGGGCTAAATTAGCTCATGAATTTGTAAACACCCTATTCACTGGTTGTGTTAATATAGATTATGCACGACTACTAACAATCACAGAGTTTTAAGGCTAGGATATACCTTAAGATTTTCTTATTTGAGTCATTCTTTTTTTAGCTGAAAAAACTGAGATCTAGATGTCTTAGTCAAGGCACTTTGTGGCTGAGGTAGGATTAAGATCTAGTCGTCCTAGCATATGGTGGTGTTCATTCTGTGAGGAGGAGTGAGGTCAAAAGGGGGTCCAAAGAGGTTCCCAATTAGAGAAAAGGAATGTCTCAGATATTTTCTGATTTTTTTWATATAAGTATGTTGAATTTCAGTTAAGCAATTTCATATTGCTTTCCCCAACACAAATACTATACCATGACACTATCCAGGGTAGGATGTCCTATTGACTGTGTCCTATTCATTTCTATTTCTGGTTTAGAGTGGGTTCTATTTGATTAGATGCCTAGAAATAGGAAAATAATAGCAGTAATGGGAAGAGTAGGGGAAAAGAGAAGCTCCACAAAAATATACTTAGGAGATTCTGAAAATAAGAAAGGAGATTTGAAAGATGAGAACCACAAAATAGAATTGTTATTGTTATCAAAATTTGGATATCACAGATAATGAGTGAGAGTATGAATTCTAATTCCATTCTAATCTACCATTTAGAAGCTGTGTGAGCTTGGGCAAGCTGGAATGCTGTGTTTCAGTTTGTTTATCTGAAAAATAGGGTTAATGGTACATTCCTCACAAGTGTGTGTGTGTGTGTGTGTGTCACTTAGAAAGTGTCTGTCACCTATATCCAGTCTGTAAGATTAGCACAGCTGAGGCAATGAAATCTTGTTGAACATGATTCTCTTTAAAATAAGATTGGGTCAGTTTATTCCTAGATGTACTATACTAAGTACTACAAGTAAAATATTGGAGTTTTTCTAGGGTTGTAAGTCAGTGTCCAGTTTTAGTTATCTACATAAAATTAGAGAAATTAAACTTAGGTGTTCTGAAATCCAAGATAATATTGATAACAACCTTGAAATGACATAAATCTCTTCATCTCTTACAATGTAAATTGAAGACAAGTTTAGCAAACTCATATGATTCCATTCATAATCAAGTAATTATGAAAATTTGGGGAAGCAGTAGTGCCTAGGGGATATCTAAACTTGATAGCCAAGTTCTGTTATGCTATTTGTTTATTAAATGCAACATGAGTTTTGTAGCCAACATAATAAAATTTTGCCAGTAAACTGGAGAGTTGACATCTTTGCATACTTTTAGCAAGATCTTGAGATATAATGGCAAAGATAGAAGATTTCTTTTTTAATGGAATAATGTGAGACAAAAGTAGGTTTGTCTTTTATGTGATGGATAATGTCTTATTTTTTTCATTTGTGAAGGGAAAAGTGTGTTTTTGATGGTGGAAGTCATTTGAAGAATGGGAAGCTTATTTTTTAACACGGAAAGCTAGATCCCTATGCTGTTACCATGTCAGAGGAAGCAGTGAGTGACAGAAGCCACGATTGCAGCATCAGTGGAAACACAGAAACAAGGGCCTAGACAGTGAGAACATCCAAACCGAAACTCTGAGAGTGAATRTGAATTTAGTCACTGACTAAACTTGGAAGACAAGTGTGTCTGGAAATACCACCCACTTTCAGATGGATGAAAGACAGAAGAGAGGAAATACTATAAATCTGTTTTAATTATTATGATGCTTAGGGACGTACTGGCATGTTGGCCTTGAGCCTATGTAATTTCTGAGAATTTTTGCTTTGCATTATGACTGGCTGTAAAACTTCATGATCATTTGGAAAGATTAAGATACATTACAGTGAGTATTAACCTACATTTCTGTTTTTTTTTTTTTTTTTTTTTTTTTAGACTTGGGAAGATCCCCATCAAAAAGATAAGAGCACAAACTGCTGTGGAGATAATGATCCTATTGATGTTTGTGAAATAGGCTCAAAGGTTTGTTTTATAGACTGTGTTAATTCTAACATGTGTTTTGTTTTATTCATGCCATAAAATTTCATTTTAGCCTCTAGTTCTTCCATTCTGCAAAGTTTGAGCCTCATGATTCCTCTGATCCTCAGTCTTTTCTATCTTTACTTTCTTCTCCATAAACAGGAGAGAGTAATCTATAGCACACAGAATCCAGTACACTGCCTGATTTGGTAAATAACACAGCTGGGCTTGTTCCCATACACATCGTCTATGGCTGCTTTTGCACCACAGGGACAGAGTTGAGGAATTGTAGCAGAGGTTTGCAAAGCTTGAAATATTTACCATTGACCCTTTACAGAACAAGTTTGCCAAGCTTTGTCTTGCTACCTGGCTATTAGCCAAACAGAAACTTTAATACTGATGAAAGCTAACTGGTACCTTTTCTTTTTTGTACCTCTTTCCAGTGGCTGAGTCCTCTTAGGAAAACTCACAGTCTCATGGGTGGCTGCTCTCATCAGTCCTTCTCTATGCCTATGGTCAATTCTTTCTTTTATTTTCTACTGCATTTACTACTAAGATTTCTTGGTATATGCAGACACTTAGCTCTTCTTACTCTGTTCTCATTCCCAGCAGAACATCTCATCCTTTATCTTGTACAGTTTGTGGATACCACAGATAACTCCCTTACCTTCCCCCTCAGACCTGAGCCTGCAAGTGTTCTTTGCTCCCTCCTTCCACTTGTGCCCTAAATTCTGGCCATTCTCCATCTTAAATGCTGATATTTTCATATCCTTTTGCTTTTCTGTATTTATTATTGGCTATTTCCCCTTTACACAAAGACTTGTGAAGAGTTTGCAACACTCATTTCCTTCTCCTACTTCCCTTATAATCTTGAACTCATTTCAAATTGTTTCCATCTCCCTCTTCCCTCCATGATTTCAATGAAACTGTTCCCACTAATGCTACCTGAGAACTTTCTTTGAGTCAAATTCAACAGGCTCGTTTTATAGGCCCTGTTTAACTTGATTTGTTTTAGCATTTTATATTGTTAACTTCACCGTCTTTCTTGAGTTAAAGTCACTTCTGCTTTGATTATACCATAATAACTGGTACTGTATCTAATCATTCTGGTTTCTTCTTCCTGGCTCCTTTTGAAGTGTTCTTTTCTTCTTCCTGTGCCTTAAATATTGGCTAGGCTGAGGGTATGTTCTTGTCTGACTCCTGTTCTTATGTAGGATCTCTCTTGGTGTGTCGACCTTTGGATTCATGGTTGCGCTCTCAAGTTGTTAACTTCAGCTCAGATCTATGTGCTTAACTGCCTCTGTGTACACTTGGATGTCTCCCAGTCTTCTCCATCTCATCATGTTCTAAACTGTTTTCATTATTTTCCTCTCTCCAATTTACTCCTCTCAATATTTGAGTCTCAGAGAATGACATCTCTTCTCCTTCCTTTTCCATTTCCAGGTTCTTGAGGTAGAAACTAAAGGGTTATATTTTCTCAATCATTCTTTGCTTTTCTTTGTTCAGTTAATCATGAAATATCAATTCTGTTTCCAAAAGAGCTTTTAAATCTGATTCTTTCCATTCACATTGCAGCTAGCTTTGTCTTGTCCATTTTTTGTATCTTATTTGATTTATTCCTGAAATTAACCAGTTTCCTTGCTTAGTCTTATTTTTACAGCCATCACTGATTCCAGACTCTTATCCTGCTTTACTCTTTTTAATACCTGTCCCCTACCTCTTTTTCTGGCTTCCTTTCTTGCCACTCCTTGTTTCCATTCTGCCATTCAGCTGTGCTGGTCTTCTTTCAGTTCCTATTATGCATCTGTTCTCTTGGGTCCAGGTCTTCATTACCTCTATGAAGAATGGGACATTTCTCCTCCCTTCACATTATTTACTTCCCTATTATTTTCACTTCTCTTCCAATCGCTCATCTTCAGATCTCTGCTCAATTATCATTCTTCTGGGAGGTTTGCCTTGGTGTTCCATAAACTGCTGTAATCACTGTTCGTGCTTCTGAAGTGCTAACCATGCTGTGTTGTCTAGGTGTCCTCTCTATGGACTGACTGCAAGCTTAGGGAGTACTTGACTCATCATTGTGTTTGTTACTAGTGTGGAGCGCCATGCCTGGCACATAGCAGGTACTTAATTTAAAGAATGCCAAATAGGACCATTATCTGTTGCGTTCTTTTAGTTTAGATTAAATCCACTGTTTTTGGAAACTCACACTAGCACATTGGATGAGGAAAACCTCTTGTTCTTTGTTTACTAATATTATTTTGTTGCTCTTCTCTGTTTTCTTTTTCATCTTCTTCATTTTCCATWTTCCTCCTCCTCTTCATCCTCCTCTTAGTTTTTTTCTTCTTTTTTTCTTTTCCCATACTTCTGCCTCCTTTTCTTTTTCCTCTCTCTTCTCTTTCCATCTTTCTTGTCCCTGTTCCAACTTATATTTCTGGTCTTTTATAAAGATAAGTTAGAATTCATATGTGCATGACTGTAATTCYTCTCACTGTACAGCAGAAATATGACTGAGTAGTAAACTTTTTTCCCCAAACTTAAGCTATAGTTTTAGGAATTCCATTTTTTAAATATTTTTCTTTCCAGAGGGTCAGCAAAGTATGTATAAAATAAGTAGATTAGAAGGAGRGAGGATAAAATATTTTAATGAGTACCTCTGACCCAGATTCACATCATATTCCCAGAATCTTATTTGATAATAATAACTAAATAACATTGCACTGATCAAAAGAGTATATATTAAAAAACCTATTCTGAGGATCTAATCCTGGGGACTGTTTAGTTTATRCTTAGTATAAATTATTAACCCATTTTGTCCCATCATCCCAGATGTAGAACAACTGTAAAAACTTAAATCAAGCAACAAATGTACCACTTATGGTAATTTTTAATAATACTTGAATACTTTTTGTGTACACTGAGTTGAAAACTTGGGACTTAATGGGTTAAGTCAGACTAAATGTTATACAAGGACTAAGTGTGAGTGAAAAGAATAAATAAAAGTGTCTTATTTTCACCCATGTAAAAATGTGTCACTGTATATCTAATTAATGAGATTGTTATCTAGAAGAAATCATACAAAAACATTAAATCAGATCAGTTGGTTCAACTTAGTAACACTAATTTGTTACCAACATAAAAAAGAAATAACTCTCAGAAAACTTGATACAAGTTTTTAACATAAATGTGTTAAAGTCACTAACTATGCTGATAAAACTAATTATTTTAAGTATAAGTGATTTTTAATGCAGTATATATAATTACCACTGAAAGCATATTTTTACACTTTATAAATTTTGGTAGATAGTAGGTATGTAATACATAATTATTGAAAAATATATTGACTAATTGTTGTTATGCTTTGTGTAGATGCAGTATTAATTATACATGATTAGAGAAGTATACTTCGGTGTAGACCAGAATATTGTGATTTATAAGGGAAATTATCATAAAAAAAGAGCAGGGGACGTATACTAGAATATAACATTATTAGAAGTCTTACAAAAGAGAAATGAATTCCTTGGCACTACAGTTGCCAGAAAGTAAAATATTTCCAGTATATTTTACAGTTTATAGTTTTATAGACCTGACTACGACTTAAACCCAATAAGTACTAAAATACTGGGGTTTTTGTTGTTGTTTTTGTTTTTTTCTTCTTCTGTAAGAACAAATTTCTTAGTTTTGTCTGGTTTTGTTTTTATATTTCACCCAGTTTTCTTCAACATTTTGGACTTTTTCCTTCAATATGCAATATATTAAAAATTATATTAATGTAAGTAAAACTAAGGACAAATCTTCCCTTGCAATCCTGCTACCATAATGAATTATGTTTTTTTCCTCGTTTTCTTCCTCCTGGGATAAACATATAAATATTTTGTGTTTATTAGACATTTTTCCAGTGTATTTTTTGTTATAAAATTTATATACAGAAATTTTTATGAATGTAGCTTTTCTCTTTTAATTTTTTTTGGGGGATAACTAGAGGTATCTGGTGGAATTTCTAAAACGATGCCCCAGTGATGTCTGTTCTAATCCCTGGAGTCTGTGCATGTAATGAGATGTCACTCCCTGGATTATGTTATTTATCAGAACAGTTTAGAACAGGGTAGTTATCCTGTATCATCCATGTAGGCTTATTGTAATTACATGAACCCTTAAAAACAAAGTTCTCTGGAAGTGGGCAGACCAGAAAGTGAGAGATTTGAGTAAGTAGAGCACATCCTTTCTGTTRAAAGATGGCTGAAGGGAAGGTCAGTGAGGAAGAATGCTGTGGACTTCCTGTTGCAGAGAGCAGTCCCTGTTTGACATTCAGCCACCACAAAAAATCAAATTTAAGTAGTTTCTTGTTTGATTTTGACTTGGTGAGGCCCTAAGCAAGAAAATCCAACTATGCTGTGCCTGGACTGAAACTGGAATAATAACTTTATACTGTTTTAAGCCTTTTGAGTTTATAACCATGCGGCAGCAGAAACCTAATTCAGAGGATAGCAGGCTTTAAGCAGTTTTACTTTCCATTGTATTCAGGGGTTGATTGGATCCAGGTGAAGTTTAATCTCATTTGAATTCTGAATCAACATAGAACTTTTGTTATAGACGCACATTGTATTCTGCTTATACAAAGGTCCTGAGAGTTGGCACTTGGTCAGTGTGTGCCAAAATCCTTGTGGAGCCAGAGAGAAAAAATTACTATCTATTGAAACCTCTTATGCTCTTGTTTATGTATCTGTTGTTTCCTTGGCTCTTTGCTTCAACTCTATGGGGAATAAATGATATAATCTTCATTTTACTGTTGAGGAACTAAAGCCAAAATATTGTGTAAAATAATTTATCTCAGGTCACTTCTTGGAGAAAGAGAATTCAACCCCACAGATTTATGAGTTTAAAAATCCTGACCTTTGAAATTTTTCCACAACAGCCAGAAAAGTTAGTAATATTCTTACTGTGATTATACCTAAAACCTTTGAGGGATACCTATGCTTTTATTTTGGAATCTCAATCACTTTCAA